ATGAGAGTTGAACCAGGGGGTCAGATGCACTGGAAATGAATGAATATTGTGGGAGAAGGACGGAAACGGAGTCTCTACAGCAGCGCTTGGGAGCGTAAAGCACCGCTTCCCAGCCTGGGTTCACAGGCAGTTTGCTCCTCCCATCAGATGAATTCACAGGGGTTGTTTCAGATCACACCAGGCATGTGCAAGGACCCTCTTGTCTTTGTAGCTTTGCATTGTGCTCAGTTATTGCTAGAAGACTCGGTGCCAGGTTTGGATATCCTTGGAACGGCGTTTGCAGCCACACATAAGCAAAGCCCGTCTGAGCTGTGTCCGGCTGTAATGGCTGATGGCAGCCCGGCTTTCACCAGCGAGTGGCCTTTCACCCATGGGACCGTATCATGTGGAAGTCAGATTTCTCTGGTGTCTGCGAGAAGTAACCTAGTCAAGCTGCATCTTCAGGACGACAAGAGCTAACTAACCTGCAGTCTCATCTCTCTGCTTCTGTTTGCTCGTCCCCTTCCACCCCGGAGGGTCCGGCTTTTCTGCCCGCTGCGTGGCTGACCCAGGAACAGTCCTCCCCTGCCTTCCTGAAGGCTGGTTGAAAAGTGCCAATTAATTTTTGATGAGAAATTTGAAAACAATGTGACAAAATTTCCTGATCCAAAGGTTTCAATTAAATTGAAAAATGAAAAAATATTAAAATTCTACAAAATGTAAATTTAAAAAATATTTCCCAAAACTTGATTTAAAAGAGAAAGATGATCTAAAAATATACAACCTTTTTATCCCAAATCATTCAAAAAGCACATTTCAACGAAACGTGTGTCAGCTGCATTCATTTTCTCATCTCAAAAGCAAGGTAGCTCGCGGGCTGTTTACCTGTGCACAATTTTAATGTCTGTCTTGAAATCTGTCTTACCAGGTCTGTGTGCCGTACCTTACTAACCGATGTTTCTTCCCCACTCACTTGCTTTCCCAGCAAATTGCATGGGACTCCCAACACTAACTCTGCCAAGGTGGTTTCATATAATCCCCATTTCTTACTAATATTGTTTTTGTCACTTTCTTTCCCTCCTTGTCTCCATGAAAGTGGAATTAATTGGTTTTTCCTGCATGGCGCTTTGTTTCTGCACT